AATCATGTTGATTGTAATGAAACATACATCAGAGTCATTCCAAAGAATCATAAAGACAGCATTAGATAATGGAATTATGCAACAATTAGTTAGTATAATTTTGTATGACTCAGACAAATGTAAAGAGAGAGTTCTAAAGATGGTACTGGTATGGTGCAAGAAATGTGATTCATTGTGGTTATCAATGAACTCTTTTGTATTGGCAATATTCAGTTATTTAAAAGAAGCTTCAAATGATATTCTTATTGAAATGATATATTTTCTTAAGGAATTATTCCTGTTTGAACAATACTTACCATCGTATTTAAAATTACTTAAAGAAAATATTGACGCACTTCAATTTCTCATTGCTTCTATTCGTTCAAAATATCTGAAAATTCAAGAACTTTCATTGGAATTTGTACATCAAATATGCTTGTTAAATGATTGTCAGTTGATGGAACTTGCAATCGACAATGGAATGGTAGAGAATGTAGTTGACAGTTTAACAAATGAATGGATTAAGAATGATGGAAGAATGGTAAGTATAGTATTAGAAAGTGTTTTGAATAGTTTCAAGGTTTGAGATAGTTGAAAAGAAGGAAGAGAAAGAAGATTAACGAAGTAGTGTAGTTTAGAGAGACATAAAGGGATAAGTGAGGGGATTGAAAATCGAAATGGATGGATGAACATAGGAATGGTTGATGGTAAGAGTCAAAAGACGAAAGAGATAGTTGAAAAGATTAAAGGGATGATAGAAGAAGAAAGACGAGGGGAAGAGATGGAGATGTGTGAGATTTAAAGCAAAGGAAGAAGAGAAAGGAAATACAAAGGCATAAATGAACAAAATAATTTAAGTGTAAGTTTATTTAATACAAGGGAGAATAAAATAGAGACATAATAGAATCAAAAGAAGAAGGCTAAGAAACACAAGAAGAATAAAAGGGGTGAGAAATATAAAAAGAGAAGAAGAAAGAAAAACAAGAAGACATAATAAAAGAAGAAGAAACAAAGAATTAATAACATAAAAAAAGGAATAAAAAGACAAGATAAAACAAGAAAATATAAGAAAAAAGGAAAGAAAAGGAGAATTTAGTGAAATAAATAATAAGAAGAAAAAAAAGAAATAATAGGGAAATAAATAGACGAAATGATTAA